CATTGAGTAGCTTAAGCGAGGAATTGGAAGGTCTAGGGTTTGGAATACAATTGCAAAAGAGTAAATTAGGGTTCGATGAGAGAAGGGTCTGAGAAGCGATTGCAGAAAGAAGCATCACGACGGAAGACGACAGTCGAGTTGCTTGTGGCTGAGACTGAAACTCCACCAGGAAGATGATATTACACATTTCACACACAAAAACGGCTATAGCTAAAACGGCATCGTATTAAGAGAGCAAATTATCTTTAGTTTGAAGTTTGTGACTAATGAATGTTTTAAAAGATACGTTGACCGTATGTAATCTCAACAATTTGGATACAGTGCTCAACACAAAAGCGACTAAAACCATCTCCAATGTATTTTTTTTTTTCTCTAAAATAAAATAAAATATAGCAATCTTCAAATTTCACTCCATTGTATCTCAATTTTAGAGAAATTGCTATTTTTGACTCTAGTTTAGAGGAAAATATAGCATTCTCTACATTTTCCTCCAAATATAGAAAAAAATAGCAATATTTACTTTAGAGATGAAAATAGAGGTGAGTTGGAGAGGAAATAAAAGATTGCTATTTTTTCTTTATTTTTAGAAGAAGAAATAGAGGTGGGTTGGAGATGCTCTAAGGGTTGATGAAAGTACTCTCGAAAGTTCAGCTCGGGTAACATGATCATTTTGCTTAATCTGGGTTTGTGACTTACTCGGGTCAGTTGGTCTAGAGCAAAAGTAGTCTGAAAAGTGTGCTCAAACCAGACAGCCTGCTCAAACTAGACAATGTGCTTAATCCGGAGCTATGCACGAAGGTCCAGCTTCATTAAGTCAGGTTGGTGAAGACATTCACGAAAGTTCAGTTTAGTCCTACAATCAACTTGATAGCACAATCAACTCGGGCCCATTCACGAACATTCCGATTTTGTATTGTCACGACAAATAAGGATTAAGACTCGGCTTCAGACACTTCAGACCTTCGTGCGCGGTCTAATGTGATTCACGCGAAAAAAATTCGAAGAAAGTCACTAAAGTCTAAAATATAACTAATTTGCATAAGTAAATTCGGACTCCGATGCAAAGTAATAATTTTGGACCTCACATCTCTGAATAAAGAGATTCATTGTTTAAAAGTCGAGGTCACGAGGAACCGAATATATCATATCTCATGCTGAATATGAGACTTAAGTCCTCCAAGGTAAAAGGAAAGTTTGCGCTTAAAGAAGAGGGAGGTTAAATGTTGGCATTGGTTTTCAGATCCATGCGAAATCCCAGCTCGAAAAGAGTTATCAAGTTTGAGCTAGGAAGGTTCAATCTAGAAACATGGCTAGAGGGCCCAATTCGTGGTCGAAAAAGATTATGCCTAATTAATTTGTTTATATCAGATCCATATATCGCTAAATGAAACCTTAAAACGCAATGGATATTCGAAAAAGAGACCTCGAATAGAAAGGTAGCAACACTCGCGGATTGGAAGAGGGCATCGGTTTCAAGACCCATACGGAAACCAGCTCGAAAAGAATGGCCAAGCCCACATCAAGAGAGCCCAACTCGGTGCTACGAGCAGTAGACCTAGTTGGAAATCGGAGGATAAGGCCTAAGCATTCCGGTAGATTGAATACATGCCGTATGACCAGATTAGAGCTTGATAGAATAATTATTCAGAAAACGGATCCACAATTAAGGGGAAGAAAGAGTAACATACGAGGGTTGGGAGGACTAAAGAAGTTGACCGACTTAATACTTGAGAGGCATGATTTACGGAAATGTAATATATAAATGTGAAAATCATCCTTAGAGAAAGGACATTATGTAATCGCTAAATATTTAATTCGTAATAAACAATTTTTTTTTACTGAATAAATTTTTATGTTTTTTTTTTGTCAACATAATAAATTTTTATGTTATTTCTTATTCTAGTTAACTTTTTTACTTTGATTATTCATCTATCTTAGTATGATCCGAATTGTTCCATATTCATGACTCATATTTTCCGATCATTCATAAGTGTGATTCGAATCGATCCAGATTTAGGACCCGCACAACTAAATTTGATCAAGACTTTTAAGGAGATTTAAACTTCAATGAGTAAACCACGAAAATAGAGGTCCAAGATAGTTCTATTAAATTGCTATTTTGATAAGCATTTTAGTACAAGAAAAAATTCTAAGTGAATGATAAGTGTTTGTGCTAGGTAAAACTTCGGATCCCTCTTCTGAATGACTTCTTCTCCTTTTTATAGATGTGAGAGTTACCGCCTTGTCGAGAATATCATAATATATTATCTTCAAAAATTATTTCTATCTATTTGATTCGGCCGATCATTACGCAATCTGACTTCATCCAACTCGACACACGATTGTTTGGATTAGCCACCAATAGGTTCTGCCTCGGCCCAAGGCATTTTGATTCCGCCTTGGCCCATGGCATCTTGATTCCGCCCACGCAATTCGCCTTGGCCACGATGCTTTGGGTTGGCCCACATGACCTTGTCTTGTACAGGGAGTCTCCATTTGTTTGGTTTCCATTTGTATGGGCTAGGTCCATTCTGTTTTATGTAATCACTAGATTTTGATCCACGCCAAACGTGGGATTAAATATTTAAATATATTTTCTAATCGATCTTAATATTTAGACGTGTATTCTAATATTTCTAAACGTACAAAATGATATGCATTGTGCATAAATGTAATAAAACTAAATTTTTACTAAACATATTTCAATGTCATATGTTTTGATCAATTTTGTATAAAAATATTAAACTAATGTAAATATTATTTATTTCAATTTATTTGAAGTGTCAAATTGAGTTTTATTATTTGTGCAAAATTATAGAACATGCGATAAATCAAATAAATTTTTTAGATTTATATAAATTTTTCGGACGTAAAAATAAAAAATATATGTTTTCTAATAAAATGTAAAAATATTTATAAGTGTAGTTATCATCTACAAATAAATAATATTTTTAAAAATATAATAATAATAAGCTTTTTAGTATATCAATTTTTTTTAAAATAGATGATATAGTAAGTCTAAATATTACGATTAATTAAACTTAATTCTGTAAAATATATATTAAAGGGTTTATGTTATAAAATTAATAAAAACATATAGAGATTTCCACCATGGCATATAGTTTTAATTAAAAAAAATTTATTAGTTAATTTATATGACATATTCCTTAAAACCCTCATTGAATAATACATATGATTTNTTNACCAATTGTCTATTCNATTAATATATANAGGATTAGTGGCATTTTAAAAAAAATTTCAAAATGATGACATTTTTGAAAAGTGGCATTTCTAAAAAAATTTCTACATTTTATCTAAGAATCATGCAAATTAAATTTTGTAAGATAAAATAATATAGGAGATATATCTTTATTATTTTTAATTTTTCTCGTATATTAAAAAATCATGAATTTTTTTTTGAATATTCTAACGCATGTAAAAAAAGTCTAATAGTTATTGAAAAAAAAAATATTCTCACATATATTTTATATTCTTTAAATAAAATCTTCCATATCAATTATCACATATTCCTTAGTTTCATATTTGTTTGATAGTTATATATTGCATATTTATATAGAGGTAATTACAAAAATGTCACTTTTGGTGTGCACATTTGCAATAATGCCACTTAAGGGTGTCAATTTACAAAAATTCCACTAATTATAAATTTATAAAGCCTATATCTTAAAATTCTAAACCCTAAAAAATGTTTTGACACCTAAAACTCCCTAAACACTC